AGAAATTACTGCAAAGTTATAATCAGTCGTTCAGCAGGACAAATGTGCTGGTTTTTTTTACATCTTTTTTGGATGTCACTTCCAACCAAATTTAATAAATATTTAAATTGATCCTTGGTCATTCTAGTGTGTTCAAAAAATTGATCTTTATCAAGCTTCTACATGTCTTTAAAAAGTGGCAAAATGCCCTTTTTCTATTGATAGGCTTCACTTTCCACTTCCTTTGTCTAGTTTGTTTTTGTTGAGCTTCTATTGCTACAGCCATAAGTGAGGCAAAGCTTAGAATAAATAGGAAACAGCTATCACTTGTATATTTTTCTTTTGAAGAATTTTCATTTTGATAAATTCAACAACTCTTTGAACTTTGGGAAAGTAAACAATACTGAAAACAGTAAATATGGAACTATCATTACTGTCAACTCAATCAGCAAAAAGTTGGGTAAGAGTTTTATTTTATTTTATCCTTATGACATTGTATAAACGCCTTCTAAAATTGTGATTATGATTAAAACCAAAACTAAGACTATGATTATGATTATGACTACGCAAATGTTGTATAAACATATGTGTTTATTTTCAAAATTCTTATCCTATCTTCCTCGTGAAATTTCAAAATACAACTATAAAACTAACAATTTTTTTTTTTTAGGTTTATCATAAAGAATGAATATCTAACCGGTGGAGATATAGAAGTGTCAGAAATTGAGTTAATAGTTCCAATTGGAGGAATATCTATAAAAGAAGAGAAATATTTAAATGATGCCAATTCATCAGGAGCAGATGTTGTTAGGAAATTTCAATGTTACAATTGCAATGCTATGTTTGAGAAAAAATCAAATTTAAAACATCATTTAATATCACATTCGGATAGTCATCCTTTTAAATGTAACACTCGCAAAACGAAATTTGAACAGAAAGTCGATTTGAAGACGCACACATCAACACACTCGTATATCCATCTTTTCGTATGTAACATTTGTGAAAAGAAATTTACCCAAAAAGGCAATTTGAAGACTCACATATTAACACACTCGGATATTCATCCGTTTGAATGTAACATTTGCAACGCAAAATTTAAACGAAAAGACTATTTGAAGACTCACCTAATAACTCATTCAGATATTCATCCTTTTGAATGTGAGACTTGCAAAGTAAAATTTAAACAAAAATGCGTTTTGAAGAGGCACATGCTAACACACTCGAATATTCATCCTTTTGAGTGTAAGATTTGCAATGCAAAATTTAAACGAAAAGACTCTTTGAAGACTCACTTAATGACACATTCAGATATTCATTCTTTTGAATGTGAGACTTCCAAAGCAAAATATAAACAAAAATGCAGTTTAAAGATGCACATGCTAACACACTCGGATATTTATCCCTTTGAATGTAACACTTGCAAAGTAAAATTCAAACGAAAAGACCATTTGAAAAATCATATAATAACACATTCGGATATTCATCCTTTTGAATGTGACATTTGCAAAGCAAAATTTGAGAAAAAAGGCGCTTTGAAGATGCACATGTTAGCACACTCGGATATTTATCCTTTTGAATGTGACACTTGCAAAGCAAAATTTAAAAGAAAAGGCAATTTGAAGATGCACATGTTAACACACTCAGATATTTCTCCTTTTGAATGTGACACTTGCGAAGCAAAATTTAAACGAAAAGACGCTTTGAAGAGGCACATGTTAATACACTCGAATATTTATCCTTTTGAATAAGACATGCAATGCAAAATTTGAAAAAAGGCGTTTTGAAGATGCACATGTCAACACACTGGAATATTCATCCTCTTGAATGTGTCACTTGCAATGCAAAATTTAAAAGAAAAGACGTTTTGAAGATCCATATGTTGACACACTCACTCGGATATTCATTCTTTTGAATGTGACACTTGCAAAGCAAAATTTAAAAAAAAAAAGACGTTTTGAAGATGCACATGTTAGACCATCTGAAAATTCACATAATGACACCTTCGGATATTCTTCCTTGCAACGTAAAATTTAAACGAAAAGGCGATTTGAAGAAAGAATTTTAAGTGCAACGCTAAATTTAGAACCAGGGGTAACTTGAAACAACTTTCAGTGAGGTAATCAGATAAGTGTAAATTTCATTGAAGTTAATTTTTACTTGGTTTAATTTAAACTTGAAAAAAATTGTGTTTATTTAGCATCCAAACATGTGGATAAACGAGTGTTTTAATGTAGCTTTTGTAAATGCCAAACTAATTTATCGAAAAAGGGCCTTGTAAAAAATTTAGAGACAATCGGAGCGCACTCCGGACTCGCTGAATAATCGGAAGTAATTACACAAGTGCATCGACATAACCCATAATTTTTCATGGAAGCGTGTCGTCTTAAAACTAGATTAGTTTATTTTCATATTTCGGCAAAAATGCCCGACACCGGATACATATTCAAGGGTGCAAAAGTTCGTAGAAAAAAAGAATTTGCTTCTAACATGTGAGAAAAGTCTTTTTGTCGCCCTCAAAGGTTATCCGGTTAACTGCTCATGCGTGTGGGAGGCACCACTTCGCGCACTTGGTAGAGAAATAACTATTTTGCTTTGTGAATATTTTCAAGTCCTACTTGTTTTGTATGGCAGAAGTTTTCTTCGGACGGTTCGATCATGCCTATATGTTTAATTTTTGGAATTTAAATTGCATTTATTTAGTGTACCTACCTAATTTCGAAATAAAGTATGAATGTAAAAATGTTTTTTTTTTGGGTTTATAATAAAAAACGAAATAGAAGTTTCAGATGTTGAAACAATTAATATAAATATAGGTAAAATGTCGAAGTGTTGAAGGGGGTGTGACCCAGAAATGGAAGTTTTAGTGAAAAAAAATCTGAAAATAAATATTTTTCCTACGAGAGTGCGGAAAACGCGTTTTCCCGCACTGATTTGCGTGCGGAAAGTACCACTTTTCCGCACTGCGTGCGTGAATTTTTTTTTACCGCACGGCGTGCGCGAAAAAAGTTTTTCACGCACGCTCTACCCGAAAAAAGTTTTTTACGCACTGATTTTTTTTTTTTCAATTTTTCTCTTCATGTCATGCTTCTCAAAAATTTTGGATCTTTTTGAAATTCCTCCACAGTTTTTTCTCTTCAAGAAAGTTATTAGGTTTTAGTACTAACCAATATCGACCTCTTTAACGTAAAAACCATAAATAATTTATTCTACTTATAATAAAAATAATTGTTAATTTTCTGTTGTTAAAATCATTGCGTTACTAAAATTAATTGAAAACTCACATTTTTGACCCTTATCAGTAGAGCCGAAAACAAACAAAAAAAAACAAAAAAACAATATGTCAATTTTGAACGTGCGGAAAAATGTTGTACCTAACACGAGCGTAAAGTATCTTTTCCGCACGGCTTGCACGAACTCCGCTGGCGCGTCGTTCGTGCAAACGCCGTTGCGTGCGGAAAAGTATAACTTTCCGCACTTGTTAGGTGAATAACTATTACCATTAGTATATACTATCATATCACTGTTGAGTTTTTACCTGATAAATATTATCTTATCTGCCTTTAGAATATAAATAATATTATATTTTAATTTTTTTCATCTAATTGTGTGCTTCCATTTTGTGATTGATGGTCCCCCACGTTTTTCTGAGGTAAGTCAATTCAGAGTTTTGGGTTGATAAATAGGTACTGCTGCTTTGGTTTTCGGAATCAATTGTTAGTGTGGGATTATTGGACCATTTGCTCTAGAGTCGGTGCAAACCAAATTTGTGCCTCCATCCCTATCAACTTTTTATTGAATCCAGACAGAGGCTTGTATAGCCATTTTCTGTTTGACTCTTTCAATTATTATCTTCTCGAGAAGAAAAGTGTTGAAAAAGGGTGTAATTTTTAAAATAGAAATCTAGATAGGTCAAAAATTTATTTAAAAAGTTTTAATTAAAACATCTCAAGAATTTTGACAGTTCTGGATTTGATTGATTCCACCCTCAGGTTTATCTTGTAGTATCTATAGTAGGTACCCAAACTTAAAAGGAACATTTTTCTATTTGGAGAAAATCTGGAAATTTATTTTTTCAAATTTTTTATCTGATTCAATTTTTCCTACATTTTTTTCAAATTTTGCCCTTGATTTTGCTTGTTTATTGCGACTGCCAGAAAAGCAGCACCATGCTCAATTAAAACGAGCATTTTAATTTAAATTTGCTGCTATTACCTATTTTACTATTATCTTATCATTATTTCCAATTATTTATTTTTTTTATATTAAAATATTTTTTCTAATTTGCAATAGTTGCTCATACTTACCTGATTCTGTTGGAAAGGAATGTCTGCACAACAATAGTTTTATAATAAATTTTTATTTAAATCTTCTTTGCAAGGTACCCACTTTTTGACAGAATTCAGGGATTTATTATTCCAAATCTTTGTGAACCTGATGCTACCTTATTCTTTTCTGGGTACCTACTCGACATAAAAGATCACTGTTTGGAGTATGGATCAGCTCGAGTGACGTCACTCCGGCAATCTATTTTCTTTCCTAGATACAGGAAACAACACGAAGAGCTCCAGTTCTTGATAGTGGAACCCCAACATCCATTAAAGAGGTCCGGATTGGAAAGGTACATATTTTATCAGATTCACTAGAACAACCAAGCTGTCAACTGTCAAATTAAGAAAACTAACATTGTTACAACATTGTTAACAAACATAAAATAAAATTATTTTTTGTTGGATTTTGAGTGATTTCATTTGCACATAAAGGGGCTACACGTTATCCTAATTTTTTGAATTCCATGACTCTATAGGTTCTCTTGTCTTAAAGTACAACTAAACGTTATTATTTGTAACAACTTTCTCTTTATTTCTCCATTTGAATTTTTGTTTGCTGAATCTAGAATTTTAGTATCAAATCTGTTTCAAAGAAAATTGAAAAATGGAAGTTTCGTCTTTTCCAGAGGCAGTATTTACAAAACTAAAAGACAGGTATTTATTTTTAATTTCTAATTGAACCATAAATAAAAACACAATACTAAAATAATGAACTTATAATGGTAAATAAAAACATTTGATTTCAGAATAAAAATAGACAACACAAAGCAGTATCCATAATAGCAAACTTAAATTATGTAAGTATGTAATTAAAAATACTTTCTATTGTTATTTTTACAACAAATGATTTAGTATTCATTTTGTACAGCAATATAATGATAAGCGCGTAATTTTTTGAAACCCAATTCGGACAAAAGCCTTTCTGAAGCTACATTTCCTCGATCGACCGAACCGCAACAATCAAAACCAGCTTCAGCTAAAGTTTTGGCCATTTTTTAACAGCTAAAGCGGCATAACCTTTTAATTTGTATTGTTCCAAAGTTTGCAGGGCACCCATTTGTCCTATAAATTCAAAATTGATATTTTTTTTATTTGAAAAATGAATTATTTTACACGGTACCTGAACGAGAACAAACCACCCATGAAATCAATTGGTTGTTGGATTTAAGATAAACTCCTGAGCCTTTGGTTAATTTATACAAATACATTAGTTTTTGCTTAGACTCTGCATACTTGAATGGCCAGTGATTATTTACAACACTTTAATCTTCCAATTGGATATTTTTCACGTAAACTTTCTCATTGTCTTCCTGAATTTTCGTTGCGTTTTCTTTATTCAAAACCCATACTTCTGAAACATCGTTGCTCAGAATTTTGTCCTTTTCTTTTAACAGTTGTAATATTTTTGGGTAAAATTCTGGATCTACTGCGTAAAATAAGGTGAAACTTCTGGCAGGGTCTCGTAGGTATTTGATTTTTTTAGTTTTCAATAAGTAATCCTTCGATAAGATTTTTGCCTGAGGAATCGAAGCTGTGTAAAATTATATCATGTCCGTGATTCTGAAAAGATTTTTTAATAATTGACTATATTTCTGTTAGGTATTTCAATGTAGATTCATTTTTTTTTTTTTGGAAAAAGGTATGTATATAAAAGCCTTAGAATTGCTTATATTTTATGATTACTTACAGGCACTGAAGCAATAAAAGTCCCTTCTATTTTCCACCAATTATTGGGTGACCAAACTTTTACAAAATCTGGCATGCCGATTTTTTTCGATTTCACGCAAATGTGCAAAAAGCTGTACAAATAGGGCAACTCTTTGCGGTGTTTTTCGTACATTTTTACCAACTGTTCCAAATCGGTATCGGACAATTCTATCAAAATATCGTCCATTTCTTAATAATGTATTTATTGGCCAAAAAACTAAAACAAAGTGAATCAACTTTACAATCTTTACATGTACACCAGGCAAATCTACATTTTTGAGTAAAGTGTTTCCGAATAGTTATTTTAAAACGGAAATCGATAGCTCTTTTAGTGTAGAATGAAAATCCAAAAGTCCTAAAAAATCGCATGTGAGCTAAAGTCGCCATTTTGAAAAACATAGCCGCCAGGGTGTTTTTTCTTTGAACGGTGATATTTCACTTATCGTTGGTCAACAATCATCGAGGTACGTAGACTTCAGCACTATCAGTAAATTCTTTAACCTTAAACGCGACAGGGAAAATTAATGACAGTCGTTACTATTTTCCATATAATCACATATAATTTTAAAAAAGGGATGTTTTTAATCATCTTTTTGTTGCGGCTTAGAGCAAATCAAATGATTTGAACAAAGATCCTAGATCCTAATAACGATTCGCTTGAATCTTGATCTACAGAATTTTCTATTATTTTCCTCACATATTCCTCACGAGTATAGTTCTTACGACTGTAACATTTTAATTTTGCTCTTCCCATTAAATGAGTAAATCAGCGTTTTAACTGGTAACACACAAATATTATTTTAGAGCTGACTTAATTCATTGGATATTAATTACCTTAATCTGTATCTTTTTAGATAATTTCAGGCACAGCAAGCCAAGATTTTGCTCCTTATCATTTGTCTAATGATTTAGTTGACCATTGCAGATGAATATTTATTGAACAATGCCTGGCTATCTTATTCTTGTTGTCCTTAAAAGGAATTTACATAAATTATCAATTTCATTAGTCGATAGCCAACATTGTTTTGATTTTCAAATAAAAAGGGGATATGTCCAGTTAATTGTCATTCAATTTTATTTTCGCGCCAGTTCATTCCGAAGGATTAATTACTTTAGTTTTCACTCCCTCTCTGTCTCTCTCTTACTGGAGGAATTCATTTCTTTTATTTACCTGTTATCGAGTACCTATATCGATCAATTTGCTGATACTTTGGTTTTGGTCGTGTAGGATTGGGTTTTTCAATAAATGTCGATATAATCGGTGTCGTGTTAGAGAAGGCATGGACTATATTATTTAATAAGTGAAGTTATGTATAGATTTTAACGAGAATAGTGTTTTCCCGATTTGTGTGGATTGATTCGGTCCCATTTGTTGAGTTCCTTTGGAGGTTTCGCTGACGAGTATCGATATCTTTGTCGTTATCTTTCAATCCTTCCTAAAGTGTGGAATGTGTAATTCGATAGAAGAAAATGTAACAGAAAAAATTAGTGCGTAGAAATTTCTGGTTTAGGTTCCAAAAAATCGTAAAACTCTTCCATTTCGTCCAGCGACTAGAACACTTTGGCTTTGGCCTGAAGAATAGTTTTTTTATCCGGTTGACCATAAAGAAACTTAAGTGATTTTCTCTATTTAATTAGGATCCGGTCATCCAGATAATTTCAATTTTGGTTTTGCCAGTCTAGTTTTGGTTTTTGTTACCTTTTGGCAGCCAAATCACCTTTCTAAGGGATTTATCTATTTCTTCTAGTCGGTAAGTCCACCATTTTGTGAATTTGTTTTGTTGTAAATTAATTGGTTCTATTCTCACAATAGAGTATCATTCACGTCGCTTGGATTGAATTGCTTGAGCCTAGACTCTTAGAGCCTTGATTTTATTGTTGCTCGTTATTGTGAACTCCCAAATTGGATCAGCCAGCGTAGGTGAAATTAGAGTTCCATGACCTTCCGTTCACCTTCAACCTTTGAGCTGTGACCCTCAAAAATCCACGAGGTAATTATAATAGGGAACAATCATATTTTTCAAATTATCTTTTTTCTTATTGCTTATGTTTCCAAATATAAAATACACATGTTTTCTTTTGTATTATGTCCTCATTAAAATAAAAAGAATATATAAAATTTCAAATTATTTCCGTTGGCGCGAAAACGATTACCTTCAAGATGTCGGTACTTGTGACGTCAACTGTTTGTAAATGCAACGTTAAGGTCTGTTCTCACGAGAGTCTCTGACACTTTGCAAACTGTCAGAAAGAATTGCTCTTACCTTTGACTGCATTGAATGCAGTTTTTACGAGGTGTTCCTGTATTTGGCGTATTGTGACATTTTGTATTTTAGTTAGTTTGTCATGATTTATACAGGATTTACAGAAGCGCAGTCTGACAATCTTCTATAGACCCATGTATGGTGGTTCAATATCAGTCGTGGCGTGAAGTGAGCTGTTCGTGGACCAATCGTTCTTCAGGACTCAAGAATGAACCATGAAAGCGTGGACCACGTTCGTTATTCACGGTCAGTGTAAACTACCCTTAACCTTGGTTTATAAACAGGACGTCACCGAAAGCGGCCATGTTGAACTTAGCTTTTCCGCGCGAAACTTTTCAATTTGAAACTAATAATTGCCGTATGAGAATAATATCGATAAATTAAACGCAAAACTGCTCATATTTAATATTTTACAGGAAAATGTGCTACATAAAAACAAAATGAATCATATTTATTTCTTATGAGAATTCCCTATTGCAATTTTCCATTTTAATGTTTTATTGGGGGACCATTCTATGCCACATTGATTGGTAGACTTATAGTTTTTTTATTTAAATATATTTTTTTTGGCAATGCAACTTAATCAAATGAAGTGAACTCATTATATTTAGTAAATGGGTTAAAACTTGGGAATTGAAACGTACAATTTCATATCCCAAGTGGCATAATTTCAATGGGGATTTAAGGGTAATTTATTTACTCATTGGTGCTTTCTTTAGGGTCTTATGGTACGGTTTTATGATACCGTTTTTGATAAAGCAACTCAGTGGAAGTTTCGATGGTATACAGTACCCACCACTGTATCTGAATAGCAAAGCTTCGGCGAACTAGTTTTCATTGATGAGATAGATCATCTGGTGCGAGTGTACAGTCCCAGGCCCGTTGTTAATTGTCGGCATAAAGCTAAGTAGTTTAGCATAGTTTTTTTATTGATTATTTAAAAATACCGTATATGGTTTAGGTAACTTTAGTTACTTACATTTAAGTAAGCATTTGACCCCATTTATTTGCGGAGTGATCACTGACGCTGGGTGTATGTTAATTCGCACTTATTGGTTATTTTAGTTTTAAGTATAACCCTTTGCTTACATACATATCAGTACCTACAGACAGTTTTCTTTAATCTGACTATAAGGAAACCTTTAGGTTCTTTGTTTCCGCTAGTCGTCATACTAGTCTCTGAATACTTGTCATAATCATTATTAATCATCATAACTTGTACTAAATCATTACTTAATATTTAATAAATACTGATTTTGTTGTATTGCCAATTACCTGCTTTCTTTGTCTTTTTGTTTATCCAATTATTTTCTTACATTTCAGGCATAATAATTTGGTTTGTACTTTAGTTCAACCTGCCGTCATCGCAGGACTTTTCCGATTTAGTTTCAAAAATCGGTGGCTTACGAATCCACGAACCGGGCACGTGGACACTTTAACAAACTCGGTTGAACTAAGGTCGCAATCCAAATAAGGGTAGATTTTGGTAATTGATTTTTATTACGTAAAAGAAAAGTGTTACACGACATAACATGAACCTTAATACAAAAATTGACTTAACTGTTTAAAGTCCGTTGATTTTAATCTGATACTTCAAAGGGATATGAGCTGGTGGCTCCCTACATTAGAACGCCAATGGCCACCTGACATCACACCTGTTTTTCCCATAAGCTTCACCCCCTCTCCTCATATGGAAAGTGTCAGATTAAAAACGACAAACAATATATATTTACTAATTTATTTTCCCTATAGCCGAGCTTAATGCCTTTTGAGTTTTCCAATGTTTCGCCTATATCGTCTTTTTTCTTTTTACTCGCAATTATAATTGACTGCAATCTTTTTGCTCCCACATTAACCACTCCACTTTCACTTAATGGCTTCTTAAAAAATATGCAAGTATTGTTGTGTTCACAGAACACATATCCTCAGGGATAGAAAAAAAAGCTTAATGGAGGGCGGGGCCTAAAAAAAAAGCTTCAGATCGCATCCGCTTGGAGACGCTGGAGTGAAACAGAACTACAGGTGTGGAATGAACGCACCAGAAAATATGTCACAGTTTACTTTGGCAGTTTACCTGGGTTGCGTTCAAGGACGGCAATGCTAATGCCAAAACCTACTTTTCCCCCTCCACCTGTAATGCCGAACCACGTAGGTTGGAGCCGAAATCGAACGCAAAATGCCAATTTTGGCTTGGCTGTAGTCATTCCTGAACGCATCCCTTTTACCTATATTTAAAAAAATATGTCAAAATAGTTGTGAATGAGAATTCGTCTTGGTGTTGGTGTGTATTTTAAATCCAGATAAATGTTTAGTGAATTTAAAAAAAAAATCAGATTTTATACAAAACACAAGAAGTTTGGCCGTTTTTGCTCTACTCGGAAGAAAAATACGTCAATATTCAATAATCAGGAAAAAGGTTTGTTTGGACTTCAGTTCAAAATCGGTTCTAAATTGGACTACGCTTGCGCATTTGGTCATATCAAACCTATATAAGGAAATACGAAAGTGTAGTTCAATTCTGAACTGAAGTCCAAACAAATCTAATATTAAAAATATTGACATTGGAAGAACTATTTTGAAAGCTGATTTGATTACAGAAACCTTTATTATAAATAGTTCGGATCGCATCCACCGCGCCGTGACTGCGCATTGTTCCCCAAAATTTGATTAGGCAGTTTGCCTTCTATCCGTGAGGATATGTATTCTGTGGTTGTGTTGTTACTATAGACATGGTTGAACCATAGAGAAATATAATAAACCAAGGTGAGAGTTACCGATTCTGTAGTGCGACACTGGCATCGCGATGACGTCATATCGATACTAGCGCCACTATCCACTACAAGACCAACTTAAACAATATTTGGCGGGCTTTTTGAACTTTCAGATTATAGTCTTGTTATTTTTGAAGGTATAAATCCAGCCG